AACGTACGAGAAAACTGGAGAAGATGGAAACAAGAGTTTGAGTTATACCTAGCAGCCACTGAGAGTGATGGAAAATCCGAAAAAGTTAAATCATCTATCCTACTTACTTGTATTAGAAAAAGGGCTCGTGAAATTTACAACACCTCCTTTTCCAGACTGAGGAAGACAAGAAGAAAGTCAGCCCGATCCTAAGTAAATTCACAGCGTACTGCAATCCTCGAAAGAACACAACCTTTCTACGTTATCAATTCTTCTCCTACAACCAACAAGATGGACAGCCTTTTCATGATTTTGTTACTGAACTGAAGAAACGTGCTGAGGAATGCGCTTTTGCCAGCCTGAAAGACTCCCTGATCACTGATAGGATTGTGTGCGGAACGACTGACAACAAACTTCGTAAGCATTACCTATGAGAAACAAATCTCAAGTTGGAGAAGGTCATTTTACTTGGTCGTGCTGCTGAGGAATCAAGAAAACATGCTGAAGAACTCAAACATGCCTCGAAACCTACTTCAGTCGATATGGTCGGCCAAGGGGTGATACCCAGACAGACAAAGGCGCGACACCAGAGTACTTTCCTAACTGCAAATTTTGTGGTCGTGGACATAATCGTGGAAATTGCCCAGCACGATTGTGGTGCTCCAAATCACTTCGCACAATGCTGCCCTAAAAAACAACGCAGATCCAACCCTCAACAAGCACGCAACAGGCCGATTCGTGAAATCACTCGCCACCCCGACCTCAGAGAGGATGAATGGGAGAATTTTGTCGGTGCGATAACTGTGGAAAGCCTAGGGGAAGAGAAAGATGTCAACGAAACGACTCTACACTAAACAATGCAGAAGAGAGGTACTGGAATGGTCTGTCATTTTGGAATCAAATGGAACCAACATTAACTTTAAACTTGACACAGGCAGTCAAGTTAATATTCTTCCAAAAAAGGAATACAGTAAACTCATCCACAAACCTAAGCTACATCCAGCAAAAGTGAAGCTCACCGCCTACAATGGCACCAACATACCAGTCATCGGCAAGTGCATCATCACTCTGAAGAACAGATATCAAGAATACAAAGTTCTCTTCATTTTGGCAGAAATGGATTCTGTCCCACTCATAGGACTGAACACTTGCAAGAAACTCGACCTCATTAACCGTGTAATGACTGTAGATTGTGAGTACTCTAGTTTAATTAATGAGTATAGCGATTGCTTTGGTGAAATAGGTAGTTTATCTAAAGTTCATCACCTAACCATAGATGGGAATTTCCCCCCTGTTATACAAGCGCCTAGGAAAGTTCCCTTTGCCTTGCATGAGAAATTGAAAGATGAGCTTAACCGCATGATGTGCCTCGGCATTATAGATAAGGTTGACGGGCCCACTGATTTGGTTCCTAATCTTGTAATCGTTGAGAAACCTAATGCGCGTGTGCCTTGACCCTTGAGATCTCAATCAAGCGATAAAGAGGCAACACTACCAGCTACCCACTGCCGAAGATATTCTTTCTCAAATGGCCAGCGCAAAGTTACTGGCACGGGTTACTGGCAATTAAAGCTTGACGAAGAAAGTTCAAAACTGCTCGCCTTTCGCACACTGTTCGGTTGCTACAAATTTAAGCGTCTTCTGTTTGGCGTTAACTGCGCATCGGAAATCTTTCAAGCCGAAGTGACAGAAATCTTAGAGGCATAAGAGGGATGTGCAAACGCACAAGACGACATTGTGGTCTGGGCGACACAAAACATAACCATGATTGGCGGCTCAAGAATGTTCTCTCAAGGATTCGCTTTTCTGGTCTTAAATTGAATAGATCGAAGTGTATTTTTGGATCTAACCAAATAACGTATCTCGGTCAACTCTTGACCTCCGAAGGTGTAAAAGCTGATCCACGGAAAGTATCAGCAATTCTCGACATGCCCGCCCCGGAGAATAAGTCTGCGGCCAACTGTTACATAAGACATCTTTCACGTAAAAACCGCGCTGGCCAAAACTGCACCAACAGAAATAGACAGATTTTTGCCTTACATGAGCTGAGGAAAAGGGATAAACATAAATTAACTCTAACGTTTATTTTGAGCTATGGGCACAGAATTTCAAACTTGGTCAGCTACTAGCAACGGAAACACTTTAGACATTTATTTTAATAAAATGGTCAAGGGATGTGATTCACATTAAAACAAATGTCCAAACCACGATTCATAGATTTAAACCTTATCATATAATCTTTTGAGACAAGGGTCTTGCAAACACAGATGCACTCAAAATTTCTAAGTGATTGTACTATAACGCATGACAAATGGTTGTCCACGGAAGAATATGGGATTAATAAAGTGGTAACCAAGAGAAATTGCTTTCAACAATTCGGAATATCTCCTCTGTGTTGAAGAACTAATCCTCTTGGCAGTCGAGTGTTGGCAAATTAGGACAGTTTTGTGTGATTTCCAGTACCAATCGTCTGCTGAAACCACGCGCATCTTCGGAAGGCAGTTATCAGTTATGCACGTTGCTACCAGTTGGAGTTCTCTCAGATCAGTGGCTGCTTCCAGGATGTAAACAAATTTTTATCTGACACCGCAATGTTAGACAGTGTAAGGGATCTTTATCTGTTCACTCTTGCATACAGTATGCAAAATCCATCAAGGTAATGGCAGAGGTCTTAGTACGTTTTTAAGCACTCTCTGATTGCACGATCGTGTAGTTTATCACTGTTTCCAGCAACTACCTCTACTTCTACTACTTGGTTGAGCTCATTGTCTTGCAAACTGTTCAGGAATAATAAAGACTGGGACAATCTCAAGCTTGTAACATTAAGGTAAACCAGACATACCGTCATCCTGACGGTCATCACCACTCGTGACCGTATGGTTGTAGTCTTGTATTATGATCTTTCCCCAATTCCTCATAGTATCACTTTAGGGTAAACAATTCACTGGTCCCATGCAAAAAAAAAAACTTTCTGCCCGTCTTCGTAAAAAAGTAGATAGGTCTGGTTCTCGTCATAGAAGTTACTATATAACGCCTTCTGTTTCTCTTCTACTTTTTGGTGAACAAGTGAAGATTTTACAGAATTTAAAATTCCCAGAGCCGCCTTTTTCCCCTCTGCTTGGTTTGAGAACCCTTTCTTTTTCCTTCCAATCGAGCAAACCAGTAAGCACTTCCTGGTCTGCTGTCGAGGTCTTGATAATTTTAGCCTTCCCACCTTTCCATATGAAATGCCAAAGGATTGTCCACTCATACAGGGACACAGAAGAAGATGAGGAGGAAGCCACAAGGGCAGTTCAGGAACAAATTGCCAGCTACAAGTCAGCTACAAGAGCTTGTGTCTGTGGCGGGACAAACCATGTAAGGAGGTTAAGTGCACGATGCCCATTAAATAACAAACGCTGAAATGACATTGCTAGCCTGGGCATTTGACTGTAAATTGACTAGTAATAATAGTCTTTTTATTCATTGGAAACCAAATCATATGTTGATATTAAACACTTCTGCTTATGTCCTGGATTTCACAATAATATTATCATTGGAAATTACTCTTTTTAAACATGTACCTTTCTAGCATCATAGTTAATTAAAGTGGAATGGTTGAGAAACCCTTTGTTATATGTTTTGGTTAGCTTTTTTGGACCTGATCGTGCACTGTGTTCAATAGCATTCCCATCATTTTGAACTTACTGACTAATGGAAACATTGCATTAATTTATTCAGTCTTAACTTGTGAACAAAAAACAAAGGATTGCGCGGCATCAGGGAGTTTCCAACATAACCTACAGTACCACTGTTTTCAACTTTAAAGTTTGCTGGCTTTCCTAACCAGTCTCCTCGACTAACTATGCTGGAAGGGGATAGAAAAGCACAAGAACAAAGAACAATACAAAATTCTGATTGTTGTGCAGTGCTTGTAACAGTTAGGCGACATATATTCTTTTTTTTAGGAATTTTTTACCCAGGTTGATAACATTTTACGTAACAGCAAAACATGTTTTTATTGTAGTACAGGGTTTGTACGTGTCCTGGAAAACCTGGAAAGTCAAGGAAATTTAAAATTTCAAAATCCAGGCCTGGAAAATATGTGTTAGTCCTTGAAAGTGCTGGAAAATTAGACTTTTCCTAGGACAGTGAATAAGTTTATTTTCATTTTCTTCGCTCACATTTTCAAGTTTTTTGTGGGCGACAAATGAACGTGTACAATCTTGTAAAATTGTACCTGTCGTTAATCCCAAAATCTAACAGTTCAGAGTCTGGGCTCTAGCTACCCCTGCGGTTTTACGGGCTCCCCGTGTTCAAAAATTTTGTTGTTCATATCTGGATAAGAATGGCGCCATTGTTTCGTTCTGTTTTAAATCAAGTCAAAACGTACTCAAAAGTATTGTTTCCGGCCCTTGTGATTAAGCTGAATGAATAATGCCTGGGAAGTGTACTTTCAAAGAAAACTGGACTTCTCACTTGATATACAAAGACTGGATATTACAAGACTCAAGCTCTCAACACAAAGCATGTTGTTGCTTGTGCCAAAAATCATTGGACTGCTCAAACATGGGGGAATCTGCCCTCAGAAGCAGTGCTGTCAACTCTCCCGGATAATCCGGGAGACAACAGATTTTGGACCGTATCTCCCAGTCTCCAGGTTAGAGTATACAATCCTCCTGAAAATCGCCGAATTTTGCCATTTCTTGAAGAGTCGACTTTCCAACAATAGAATTTCCAATATTTTGCGTTGAGTTATTTTTGTACTGTTGACATCGAGAGTTTCCTTGTAATCTCCGGTATGCCATTATACTATAAGCAAGCATGTGGTTGGTGGGAAGTAAACCGATGTTGTGCAACAACATAAATTTTTGTGCGTTTTCTGTCATCGCAAATTCGGGGCGATCGGCGTCAACAGTATCTTTGGCACAAATTACGTCATGTGCCATTTGTTATGACGTCATCTATCATCCCTTTGCTATCCATTCTCAATATTTGAAGACATGGGGGAGGGGGTTGACAGCCCTGCAGAAGTCACTAGAGAGGGAGTAAGCACAAAGAATTGGCAGCATTAATAGCTGAGCGGTCAGTGCCAATTACCCAGTTTATGTCTTCAAAGGCAGCATCTTCGTCTAGCTCTGACAAACCTGGTCCATTGGTGTCTTGTGACTTACATTCCAGCCCTTCAGTATGGGATGCAACTGCTAAAATACCAAGCTCATCTGCTTCTCTTAAAGAAACGGTCGAAAACGGGTCAGTAAGTAGCACAGTCAAAACGTCATCGGAGTTCCTCAAAACGAAAACTTGAAGAAGCTTCTAAAATTGACAGCGAAATAGACCAGAAGCTGCAGACTCTTGCAGAAACGTAGCAAAAATGCTACATAGTTTGTTTGGATTGTTTCAGTTTTCCTGGCTATTACTGGTCCTGGATTTTTGTAAATATGGTCCTTGAAAGTCCTGGAAAAGTGCTGGAATTCTGATGGACCAGTGGTGTACGAACCCTGGTAGTAAAAACTACACATTATGGCAGACATAATGTAGTTTATGGCAAGGCATGATACTCACATGATAACTCGCTAGGTCAGGCTGTACCAGGTACTGCAAATCTAGCCAATTAGATCATAGGGTGGTGCCAGGGTTAAGTAGGTATATCGAGGTATTTTCCCAGTAATTCTTCCTTCTCTCCCTCGTCATCAACTCCGTCAGATCTCGAGCAAAATCTTTTCAGGCAAGTACTTCCTTTGATTATATTCTCTTTTCCTCATGCCGCCAATCCGTGTTTTAATTCTGGGCCACTCTTTTATTCGCCGTGTGCACGATTTTCTTTGCCGCAATTTTAATGCGCACATTGCGAAAAATTTAAGTCTAGATGGCGATCTGCTCACAAGATGGCATGGGATTGGAAGTAGAACGGTTTCTAAAACTAGGGAGTATGATTTAGGGGTAGTAGAGGAGTTCGCTCCCAATGTACTAATCATGCAATGAGGTACGAATGACCTTACCGCCATTTCGGCCGTTGAAACTGGCTCGGCAATTGAAGATCTGTGTTGTTTACTTTATGAGTCATATGGAGTGGAATTGATTTGCGTTTGTCAAACCCTTTACAGGCAAGATGCCTCTTCTTTTGACAGACAGGTTGACTTGTTAACGAAGCATCTTAAGGTGGTTTTAGAACCCATTCCTTATGTACTTTACTGGCGTCACAGAGGGTTTTGGCGTTGTAAATCACATTTTCCTGCTCGGGATGGTAATCATTTAAACAAACTGGGACGTTGTAAATATTTTCGCAGTTTGAGAGGCACAGTTCTTAGATGTTTACGAATTTTCCCAGGTCGTTAACAGCAGTAATTTTTACCCATGTATTTGCCAGTTCCCTAATTCTGATATTTGTTGCTCTTTACCAAGCCGAATGTTATGCAGCCTTGCCCTTTGTTCACTTGTTGTTGGAAATTACTTTCCTACCTATAAGCAGGCTTGCTACTTTGTTCATGTACGGTTTAAATACTGTGTTTATTTTTGCGGCTTTGGTTATGTTATTTTGTGCTTTCGCTTTACTATTTTGAGTGTACAACCACTTTTGACCGCCCCCTTTTTTGGGAGGTGTGTCCAATGCACTCGGGATCAGTGATTACGCACGTTTTTTCATGGAACTTGGCTTTTTTCGATACTGTTACTGCTGTCTTATTTATTGTATTTTGTCACTTATATTTTTCAATTTCTTTTGTGGCTACGTTGGGTCTGTTAGGCTATATATATCTTGAACTGCCTCTCCCAAGTACTAAGTAATTTTCCAGACAACAATGGCTCGTGGGGTATATGCGTCTCCCCTGCAGTGCTGTTAATTGTCTCAGTTTTGTTTATTTTTGCCAGTTTCAGTAGTCTTTTTTCTAAAAACGACCAGCAACTCAAGCTACAGCGCCCGCTGCGATTCCATCCGTTTGCCCCAACAAGAGAGCCAGGCCGCCAAGACTGCGTCCTGAGGAGGCGCCCACTGTTCATGAGAGCACTACAACTGAGCAGGCCAACGTGATTGCTTCAAACCCTTCAAGTTCATCCCCAGGCACAGTGTCCGTGGATGTCAACGCAATCACCGCTACCATTTCTGCCGTAATTACACAAGCAGTAAAGACAGCCTTCTCACCCGAGAAATTGGCTTCGCTGCTCGACAACAACTCCCCAACACCAGTAGTGACGCAAGCACCAACTGGACTTTTTGAACAGGCTGTGGATGAGGACGTCAATGTCATCACCAATCCTCAGTCAGGTATTGGAGCAGTTGATCCTATTTTTGACTTAGTTAACACAGGTACATATGATCAAAGACCACAAGTTCAATTCACGAGTGTTTCTGTCCCTCTTGCTTCGAGAGTGAGTTCCAAAATCAAAGCAAAAATTTGGGCAAAAAAATATATTAATTTCGGGTCGTTATTGTCTGATTCACCTCAGCAGGAGGGGAAATACTCATTATCTATGTCACTGTCAGTCGCCGGTTCTTCGAGCCAGCCTCAACTGACGCTTGAACCCTGCCACGTTTCTAAGAAAATAACCAACATTTCACAGTTGATCTCTGCATTTAATATTTTCGTTTCTGTTTACGCGGAAAGATTTAACAATTACACTCCTCAATTAATGAAGTATTGCGAGGTGGTCGAGGATCTGGCTTCAAAGGACGGAGATTGGCATTGGTATGATGAACAATTTCATTCCATAAGACAATCGGCACCAGAGCAGTATCCATGGGATAGGATACATTGGGAGTTGTGGTTACAGGCGTCAAATACTTTTCGCAAACTGCAACCGCCCACCAACAAACCAATTCGTTCCGAAAGGCACCTACGGTGCTTTCAAGCAGGTAACCAATGTTCTGGATGCAAATTTGAACACGTGTTTTAAATGTGGTGGAAAACACCCGGGCGGCCAGTGCTCAGCTTCGGCACCAAAAAGTGGTTTTCCTTTCAGTTCAAACGGCAAACGAGATAGTACATCGGGTTCTCCACAGCAAGCCAGTCATGCCAGTAAGAGTGGATCGGCTTGATTTTTTGCTGCATGGTTATGACAGGGTTTTCAAACAATTTCTTGTTGACGGTTTTCGTTTTGGTTTCAGTATTCATTTTGTTGGTGAGCGGTTTTCGTCTGAATCTCCTAATCTTAAAAGCGCTCTGGATCAGCCAGTGGTAACGCATGCTAAGGTACACAAGGAATGTGATGCAGGGAGAATTGTTGGTCCTTTCACGGCTCCTCGTTTTCCAAATTTTCGTTGCTCTCCACTGGGTATTGTTCCCAAAAAGGATCCATCTGAATTTCGATTAATACACCATTTATCTTACCCCAAGGGGTCTTCCGTAAATGACTTTATCCCCGATTATGGTTCTACCGTGAAATACACATCGGTCGGGGATGTGGTGAAGTTACTCAAGCGGTTAGGAAAGGGTTGTTTTATGGCCAAAACCAACGTGAAATCTGCTTTCCGTATAATTCCTATTCACCCTGCTGACTATTCCTTGCTTGGTTTGAAATGGGACAACATGTACTATTTTGATAGGTGTCTTGCGATGGGGCTTTCCAGTTCAAAGATTGGATCGTCTCAGTGTTTACGATGTCTGTCAGATAGTTCAACACAAGGGTATAATGTCACGTCTGGAACTCGTTTGCTTGGCTGTTAAACAAAATCGAGAGGGTAAAAGTTCTCTGGCACAGTTTATCGCAAACCCGGGAAATAAAGCAGTAGAGGAAGCTATTGAGTTAGCGAAAGAATTTGCCAAAGCAGAGGCAAAGTGTCTCTGGGCTAAGAAGACCAAGATCGAGTTATTACAAGAACAAACTACAGGTGAGTGTGTCCATGGTTGTGGGGGGAGGTGGTTAGAAGCAGCTCAGCAATTATTGCAAAGGCACAATATTACAAAAGAAGATTTTTGTACCGTAATTTACACCACTTTGAGTAAGGAAAGAGGAAAGTACAGAAATATCTTTATTTATGGTGACACAAATTGCAGCAAATCATTTATCTTCGCTCCGTTAAAGGTCATTTATAGACCTTTTGTAACCCGCCACTGGTTCATTTGCTTGGCTAGAAGCAGAGGACACGGAGGTAATTTTCCTCAATGACTTCCGCTGGCATCCCAAAATTATTGTCTGGGCCGACTTTCTACAGGCTCTGGACGGCGACACAGTGCACTTGCCTACCCCGAAAAACGTATGTAGCAGAGATTTGGAACCAAATAAAGACCCCCCATTTTTCGCCACCTCTGATGCTCCTTTGGTTTTAATTAAAGCGGGAGCAATTGACAGCACTAACTTTCGTATGATGAATGTGAGGTGCAGTTTCTACAACTTTTGGAACCAAATACCACCCAAGAAACAGTAGGAGTTAATTTGCTAAGTTTATTTTGGACAATGCATGCAATGAAGCGTTGCTATAGAGACACTGAGACATTTCTCAGTAATGATCAGTAACATTTTTCACTAGAGAAAAGTGGTTTTTGAAGGTATTATGTCAATTTGTTACCGCTGTTTTAGTGCTAAGAAAGTCTCTGTTATGCCCTTGTGATAAAACGGGTATTTGTTCTCGCATTCCTGGAGATACGTGAAAAAAATCAACATTTCTCACCTTGAAATTAAAGAAAAAACTGTAATTAACCTTTAACAGTTGGTTCAGTGAGACATGTTCAAAAAGCGCCACAAAGTCCCTATGTTAAAAAGAAACGAGGGGAAAAGAAAATTAAGACATTGACAAGCCACACGAGTTTATTTTCAAGAAATATAGCTCTCTGTGAATTACAATTCAATCAAAACGGCCTCGTAGACAAGTGAGAAATAAGGTGAGAACTGTTCAACAAATCTGTCATGCAATACCCTTTCCTAAAAGTACCTTTCAGAACAATTTTACAGTCATCACAGTTTCTCGAAATGGAACGAAGTTGCCCTTGATGTTGAGTTGAAAATGTAATAGTGCGGACCGCTGTATCGAGGCACTCTAGTCAATATTTTGTTTTGCGACCTTTGGATGCCAGTACAGCTTCAATTCTGTGAGTCATACTTAAAA